ACGTGTGCTCTTCCGATCTGTGATTGTATGGAAAAAAATTGTAGACAGAACGAGCATTTAAATATTTCACATAATTACAATCAACGTTACGATTAGGTGATTGAGCGAAAGTGTTGCATAATTTTGATCCATAAAAATGACGATTTGACATATATAAAGTAACTGTAAAGGTAATAAACTATTAAATTAAGTTACTAGTTAATTAAAAAATTTAACAAAGTTACAGTTACACATGGAAAGAAAGTAGTTGCAGTTATTGAAAAAAAGTAACTGTAACTTCGTTACAAGTAACGAGTCACTTCCCAACTCTGATAAATACGATATACAACTCTCAATTCAAAACAAATTGTGATTGTATGGAAAAAAATTGTAGACAGAACGCGTCGAGAGGCTAACCTAAAGGCTGATCGGCGGTCCGTACGCGGTCCCATTCCTCCTGTCGCGTTCGCCGTTGCTCGGCGATCTCGGCTTCCGATATAAAACCAGAGCTCATTTTGATTGTTAGTAAACGATGTCTTGACGAAGAACAGTCTACAGCACTCGCAGAAATGTTTATCCGTATACAACTTTAGGTAAACCGAACGAGGCCATACGCGCGGTCGCGACGTATGTATGTATGTAAATACACTTTGCCGAGGGATTATAAACGCGCGACGCACTTTCCTGTGACGGAATTATAATCTCATCTTATATCTTCATCTACGTGCACTTCAATAGAAATAGTTTCCTAAATATTATTCGCGATATCTCGGGGCTGCGACAGCTAGCAATTTTCATAGCAAAGGACAAGAGTGTTTTCGTTGAGTCAGAAAGAGGTATGATGGTCGGAAACTCGGAACCCGTACACCAGCGCTGTTACATCCATTTTCTGACATTATCGATAAAATGAAACAGTGAAAATGGATGTGGTTCGAATCTATGCTACGTCCACAAATAAAATTTACCGCGTGTTCGTGCTACCAGAATTTAACTGGTAGAATATATACGTAACACGAACGTGCTTATTAAATATATTAAATTCGCGAATGCGTACTTCTAAAAATCTGAATCCATTTCAATGCCCAATGCCTTGTGTGTATTTATTTATATAGGAATTGGAGTGAAAGCACATTTTCTAATTTCATTCAATTCAAAAATAATTTATGTTATATAATATATTATGTTATATAATATATTTTATGTTATATAATATATTTATGTTATATATATATAATTAACATAAATTTTATATATATATATATATATATATAAAATTAACATAAATTATTTTTGGATTGAATGAAATTAGAAAATGTGCTTTATACAGGGTGGACCATTTTAATCCATCCAGTCGAATATCTCGAAAATCAAGCCCGAGAGAGAAAAATTTTTCAGACAAAAGTTGTAGGGTTTTGAGGGGGACATAAGATGATAACATTGGTTTGACCCCGAGTGGCGTCGTCAAGGTCAGGACAAGGTCACTTTGAATTTTTTAAATAGAACCCCCAATTTTTCATTACATGTTATTATAGCACGCCTCGAGAACTTTCCAAAACACTATAATA